CCCCCCCCAAAAAAAAAAGAATACAGAGTACAGGCTAAGAACAATAGGGCCCTAAGGAAACAAAGACAAAGATTATTTATTATTTTTTCGTAGATGAGTGAAATGTAGGGTACCTGATAAAATAGTCAAGTTGCATGCAAGTTGGTATGGTCACCACCTTTATCCAGAAAAGTCCTATAAAATACAAAAGCAAAGACAATTGCTCTATAAAATACAAAAGCAAAGACAATTGCTCTATATAAGCACGAAAACTTATTATTTTCTCCTTCTCTGCATCATAAACAAGAAAAAGAAAATATCTATGATCTAATAATCATAAAACAGGGAAAATGCAGTTGAAAAATAAAAAAGAATAGAAGAAACAAGGAACTCACAAAATATTTTATGAGCCTTAATCATCAGCAAGCATGAAACAGAGAGTCCAAGGGAAGATTATAAGAAGAGCAATTGAATAGAGGACAAAATCCAACGTAACAATACCAATGTGGACCGATACTGCATTACTAGCTAGATCCATGTTTAAAGTCAAAAGCGAAAACAACCTTAACAACTGTTTGTTAGCAAGTAACTAGTAGTGGTTGCCCGTGCGAACAGTAAAATTGATGTGTGCTTTGAAAAATAAAAATTTGCTGGATTATTAGAATAAACAAACAATTGTACTGAATAAAAATTTTTAACATCATATACATCTGCAAAAGCCCTTGAAAGGAACTCAGAAATGCTATTGAAAAGCTATTGAGTTTTATATTTTAAATTGATAAACAAAAGGATTGCAAAGTAGTCCTCAGATGTTACATTGTCCGGCTGAGCACACCAAGAATTTCCCCTTCTTTCTCAGTTCTATTAGTCAAACATCAAACAATGAAATTCTGGTTAGTAGGCAACCAAAAGGCTATACTACAACATGAAAAGGAGTTTCTACTACAAAAATAGAAAGTTCTAACTTGTTATGAACAATAAAACTGGATTGAAGTGCAATATTCTTATCAGCTGCGAGCAATGGTACTCTATGTGTATTATGAATCTATAAAGGGCATGTATCAAATATTTATTGATCATAAATTATGCCTTAATTGTTTGTCCAAGTTCTCATTTTTATCAATCTCGAAAACTGATGCACTCTAAGCAATTACAACCTTTATAACAACTATGTGTGAACCCTGAATTTATCAGTCCAATTATCTGTAACTCAACCTAATGAAAGAGAATCATTTACCAAGTTATTCGCCTTTTTCACTATACAAAACTATAACACTTATATATACAATTTTGGATCCAAAGTTTTTAGCGCATTTGAGAATTCTTCAATTTAATGTAATTTGGCTCCCAGAATACATGTGTAAAACCCCTTAAGAATCTTGTTTTCCATTGTATAAAGATATATCAAAATAATGAGGTAACAAACTGCATAGGCAAAAGTGAAAATGAAAGAAAGAAAGAACGAAAAATTCAAGCATTAGAGGAAAAAAGAGAAGCTGTAACACATGAATAACACAAAATTCTGGTCAAAGTTGCACTAACGTGAGAAGTGATACATTGATAGAAAGTAGTACTTAAAGAGTTACAGTTCACATAAACTTTATGCATACTTCTTTCTTTCACTTTACATTTTATTTGTTTGCTCATGGAAGTAAGGCATTTCACATGTAACATCTTCCTTTGACTTTCTCAATTGTTATACTAACAATTATGGCCTGGCAAGTATACACGACAAAAGTTATTTGATATATCTGTAAAGAGTCCTTATCTTTTCATAACATATTTAAAGTGCCATAAAGAAAGGACCTTAACTTTGCTATGCCAGACTAACACATTTCTTATAAAATCAAAATAGAATGTTAGCTAAACAAACTTTCTCCAACAATAAGAAGCATGTAAGTGAGTATTGAAGTACATCAATAAAGAGAGGGGAATTGTGACAAATTCTCTATTTGCTTCACATTATGGAATCAATAATCAAACCAGTCTCAAGTTTCCCAACACTATAGCAAAAAGTTTAATCTAGTTTATATGATTTAAACACCGAAATAACTTTTAAAACTTACCACTCAAATCTTTTGATAACCTGAAAAATTCACTATTTTTGAGCTTGACATCTCAGCTCGCCTCTCTACCTCTTCCACTTGAATGTATACTATTGTTATCAAATTCAGATCTCAAACCCAAAGCTTTCTACCCGATTTATACATCAGGAAAGTGTATTATTTGAATATTGATGGTGTTTCCTTTTTTATCCAACTCTTTTAATTGGTAGATGGGACAAAAATAATTATTTTCTCTCAGATATATTTGTGCATATCTACCGCGACGTCACAAATTTCGATTAACAATTCAATGTTCCTCAATCTTTTAAGGTCTACGCAGCAAATCTATAGTATCCTCGTTTCCGGATATGCATGTTGCAAGTATTGCAAGTTGTTTACAATTTTACAAATTAATCTGTAAGTTGATATAAATCCTAAAACCAATATGGTATATTTAATTCTCTTTTTAACACAAATAAAGTTAGGTAAATAGTAGACATATTCTAATGGAAATGCAGATGGCAACAAATGACATATATGTAAATCATATGATACAACTAATAAGAACTTAACAATGTAGCATTTGAGTTGTTAAATGATAGATCAGAATGTTGTGGAGAATATGTTGAAAAAGAAATAAAATAAAATATAGTTAGTGGTTTCACTTATATGATCAAATTCTTTGAATTTGCACAATGCAGTAGTACTAAAAGTCATTTATATGAACCTGATGTCGCACAAAGATACGTAAGCCAGAATACATAACGCTTATACAGAGGAAACAACTAAATTCATGGAGAAATCTTACTACATGTCAATGTGCGCTAATAAACTTATAGCTATAACTATCAAAAGTAATCTCTAATACCAGGCGCTTTTAAGATTATCTTGCAGAGGTTTTAATTTCAGCTTCTCATATTTCTGTGAGAAATTATATTTAAAAAGAAAGAAAAACAAAAATCTAACAGAAGGCAAGCAAATGAGAAAAAGTTTAAGACAATTAGTGGCTTTGGCATATTATTAAACACTCTCGGTGCATAAGTGTGTAAATCTGATACAACTAACGCCATGAGTGTGAAAATCAAGCAAAAATTCCAAAAAAACTGAGGAAGTATCAGATACCCATTAAAATCTCATTAACAATAACAATGTGCATTAAAATAGAAATAAGATCATAGGAAAACTTACCAGCAAAGACAGGCATGCAATATATGTCTTGTTTAGTTATCTTTGTTCCATCGTTTAAGGAAGGACAAAAAATGAAAGCAAAAGAAAATTTACAGAGCAATAATGCCCTGAAGAACCAAGAAAGAATTAGAAACATCGAAATGAAGTGGAATAGAAGACAGGTGTCGCAGAGAGAAAAAAAAAGGCTAACATGTGTCGGTGACATGAGGAAAACCTAAAAGACAGTAATTAAAAATGAAAGTACCAGAAAGCCCATGACAGACATTCATAATTACTAAGTTGCCCTGTTCGTACACCCCAACTCCCGTTTCTAAATAATACTCCCTCCGATCCAAAATAAGTGATTTTTTGGCTTTTTTTCTTGTGATCCAAAATAAGTGATTTTTTCAGATTTCAACAATGAATTAATTATTTTTTTCCTACATTGCCTTTGGAGTAATTAATGATGAAGTATGTGTTAGGAATATTTAATTGAAGAAATAGTAAAGGCTAATATGGTCAATTTCATTACTAATTAATGTTAAAAGGTGAATTTCTTAATATGTGTGAAAACAACCAAAAAATTACTTATTTTGAATAAGAGGGAATAGTAAAGTAATTAGTATCCATGTTTGTCCAAAAATTCAAGAAAAGATTCTATTAAAGACCCCTCTGTCCCAAATCATAAATTCTATCTTATCATTCTTGAAACTTTCACAACACCATTAGCCCATCCCCTCCCCACCACCCTAAGAGAGGGTGATCTTTCTTAGTAAAGATTTGTGACAAGTGGTGGGAGTTTGAGGAACAAATTGAATTGCTAATATTAAGGTCCTTAGTAATTAGGGTTGTTCATTTGGATCGGATACCCGAAATTCGAACCGATCCGTTCAATTTCGGATCCGATCCGATCCGAAATCCGAAATTATTAGGACATGTATAAATACTAAACTTTAATTTCGGTTAGTCGATACTTCCTTTACATCTTCCTCCAAGTTATTACCTAAACTTTAATGGCACCATAGTACTCTCATAATTGCAGAAACATGAATTTTTCTTACTGTATTGCCTCTTTTACAAAGAAAATATATATGAATTTACAACTTTGAAGCATAATAATCTGATCCGATCCGAACTTTAGAATCCGATCTGATCCGAAGTTCGGATTGAATTCGGATTGCATTTTTTAGAAATCCGAATCTGAAATATGTTAGATCTGATCTGATTCATGCACAACTAATAATTGCAGGCTTGCAGCCTTAATTTTGAGACAGATACATAGAGAGGAGAGTGACTTTTGCCTATTTAAAGAAAGTGCAGGGGACGGTTGGGACTAGGGGTGGTAAAATGGTTAAAAAAATAGTTAACCACCCATATTATCCACTAAAAATGAGTTGGATAATAAACTTTTTAAAAACGGGTCAAATATGAATAATAACCATATTATTCATTTAAAAAATGGATAACCAATGGGGTAACTATTGGATCTAATTTTTACATTTGTAAAGCCTAAAAAATTGGGGATTTCTCAAGTTAGGGAGACGAAGAATTCTCCCAAAAGTGATCATATGCAAAGTCATGGATAATATGGTTACTCATATTATCCGCCGGTTAACCCGTTTTTATCCGTATTAAATATGGGTCGGGTCGGATTATTTTATCCGTTTTTCATTACCCGTTTTCGACCAATCATATCAGACCCGACCCGTCCGTTTTCCACTGTTGGGACCTATGGGG